TTTGTAAGATTTGAATTATTAAATACAAACTATTAAAGGCGATTTTGGATACTTCACAGACTTCTAGCAAAAAAAATTGAATCCAAATATTTCATGTGGTTTTTTTTTACATGTTTTTCCGTAAAAATAATCAATGTTTGTTGTGAATTCAATAAGGTTTTATTTGTTAAAATAATGAATATATTTATAGCGTTTCGTGAATTTATTGCACTTGGGTGTAAAACTCAAAATTCAAATTTAACGATTCGAAGGAATTTCGACATTTGTATAATTACACAATAAATCGCCTTATTTCCATAATAGAGTGGAATTAATCTTAAAATAATTACAGTTTGAATTTGATGACGATCAATTTTATTGACAAAAAAATGAATCTTTTATAAAGCATAATTACTTCAAATGTTTTATCATGATAAATTTAAAATGTTTTATCATTTCGATTTGCGGCTTTGTAAGTAATTAAAATTATTCTACAGTATATCAGAAAGGAAACTTTTCGTCTTGTCAAAAAAAAAAACAAAGACAAAACAAAAACAAAAACAAAAAAAACGTTTCGCATTTTGAAACAATCCTATCAGGTTTTGCGTTTATCCTATCGTGAAGGTCGTTCATCAGGTCTATCGTGTTTTATCATATTTTGCATTTATCGTGTTTTGCGTTTATCCTATCATGCGTGTATCCTGTCCTATCGTGCGTTTATCCTATCGTATCGTGCGTGTATCCTATTGTATCGTGTATCCTGTAAAGAATAACGATGCGGGTACTGTATAAACAAACCCTGTATATCTTCTATCTGTTCCAGTGAATATCATGCACTAGAAATGCCACTTCTTCAACAGTGTTCAATGGCGTCTTGTCGAAAAAAAAAAAAAAAAAAAAAAAAAAAAAAAAAGTTTCGCATTTTGAAACAGTCCTATCAGGTCTTGCGTTTATCCTATCGTGAAGATCGTTTATCAGGTCTATCGTGTTTTATCATATTTTGCATTGCCGTACGCCATTAAGAAGTTCACAACATTCCTACTAGCATGTACTAAATTCTGTGCTACTTTAAAAATACTTGTTGGGCTTTTTCCCGTTTTAAAAAGCTATGTCCTTAAAACATTATATAGTACAGAAAAAAATCGTGATCAGGCATAAACGATCGTTCTGAATGAAGACAAAGCCCTCGCGTTTGCAGAAGAAAGGGCCTCCTTTCATTTCTCGACCAAGTCCAGGAAATATGAAAAAAGTCTTCCTAAAACCTTTCTTGTCCATATTTGTGCATCCTAAAGCCACAAATATACCTTACTACTGTCAATTATCCAATTATCACTTATTTATTTGCTAACAGGTTTAATAGACACAACAAATGAGCCGTTTTGTATACGCAACAAGTACTTAGCTTGACCAGGATTGACACCATGAGAGTCAGAGCAATGGCGCGTAGAATCGCGATCAAAATATGCATATTGAGAAATTCAAACTTTGAATCGCTGTAACATCAACAATATTAATTTTCTAGCAAAGATTTTTAAATATATTATTTTAATAACATGTAAACTTTGTCATATGAAAAAAAAATTGAGACATGATAAAAATCCTTTCAAATTAGAAAATATGTGCAATGCTACAAAGATTGCAAAAATTCAACGATATAAGGGTATCTTTTAGCTATTGAATCAATTTTGTTTTCTTTGACACAAAATCCTTAACATGAAAAGTGCTAGGAGCAACTTCCTCATGCCCGGGAATTGTGTAAAAATTTTGCCGTTTTTTTTTTTTTTATAAACTCACAACACAGATGTAATGCTCATTGAAATAATGTTAAATTACGTAAATATCAACAAAGCTCGACCATTCCTAGAATTTTTTATATTAGTAGTCATAGTAGCTACACATGTTAACGCTTTAAAAATAATGCCTCATTATAATAAAAACTATTATTAGTGAAAACTTGAAAACAAACAAATAAAAAACAAACAAAAACAAACCACAAAAAAAAAAAAAAAAAAAAAAAAATTACGCAGCACTTATTTTCGTCCTTGATTTCGATTTAATATACTAGAAGCAAGTAGTTTTTAAGCACACGCAATAAACATGGAAAAAAGAATAAAAATTACATTTATACATATCTTATTCGGGTAATAACATGCAATTTGATTGGATAGTAAATTTATTTGTGTGTTCAAAAAAAAAAATAAATAAATAAATAAAAATAAATAAATAAACAAATAAATAAAATAAATAAAAAAATAAATAAAAAAAAATTAAAAAAATAAAATAAAATAAAAAAAAAATAATAAAAAAAAAAAATAAAAAATAAAAAATAAAATTTGTACAAGTTGAATTAATTTTCGAAGGTAATTTCTTTTTTAGTACACTTAAAAACGAAAAAGAGTTTATAAGGAATAAATTTGCAGTAAACTGCCCCAAGCCAAATTAATCAGTATGCCTTGGCTAACTATTGAATTCATTTCTTAACTGTATATACGTGTTTTTGTTGTGTTTATATAGCACATATGTAACTGCTGCTAAGCTTTGGTTTCATTTAATTAAATTTTAGACATTGATGCGGCTAAAGGATGCACTTTATAGAGAAAATGTACGTGTCCCTCTTCATTTTCATCATTTAAACAGCAGATAAACCTTTGATTTACCAGACGGAAAGAAAAAAAATCATAATCACTGTACTAATTATTAATTGATGTAATTGTAGTGTATAGCTATTTCCTATCTTTTTAAATGAAACATTACATATGTTATGCACTTAATAAATGAAATATTACTCTTTGTTATCGTTTAATAATTTACATTTGATGACAGATTAAGTCGAACTTAAGTTGGATGCTCTAGATTATGATGTGAAATATGAACATGAATTATAATTTTGCAAACATGTCTGACGTCTGACATATCTATTCACAATGGATGTGTGCTGTAACATCACTGTTCCTACAGGACATTCGATTTGTGAAAAAAAAACACACACCCTGATTGATACTGACCAATTCAAATAAAAAGATAACCTAACATCTATGCTTTGGTAAAATTTATCTGTCTTTTTTTCTTAGCTTACCGCAGCTGAAAGTTCAAGTGAGTTTTTCTGATCACATTTGTCCGGCGTCCGTCTGAATAGTTCTCTGTAACATTTTCGATATTTTCTCACGAACCACTGAGACAATTTCGAGTAAATATGCGAAAAAACATCCCTGGATAATGGCGATTTTTTTTCCCAAAGGAAGGACAACGCCATCTTTCAAGTGGAAATTATTAATAATAAGGGAGGTTTATGCTTTTTTTTTTCAAAAATATTCTTCCCAAAACCAAAGAGCTTCAAAAGATGAAAGTTACATTGTATGTGACATCGTCATTACATAGGGTAGATCTTTATATATATATATATATATATATATATATATATATATATATATATATATATATATATATATACATACATGTATATATATATATATATATATATATATATATATATATATATATATATATATATATATATATATATATATATATATATATATATATATATATATATATATATATATATATATATAATTATATATATATATATATATAATTTTTCATAACTTGTAAAAAGCTTTCTCATTGGTTCGTTTGATATCACGTACCAAGGTATGGGAATGCGGATAGACCAGAACATTCTAATTATAAGCATAAAAAAAATCGTATAGACCAAAAATGTACGAAGAAAATCATGTATGAAATATAATCACTTACACGGATTTTTTTTTTCGTACAAACCTACAAACAGGACAACTTATTAAAAGCTCAAGTAGAAGAATTATTTTTGGGTGAAAAAAATTTCATGGTTTATAATCTTATAAACGTATCTTACAGCTAAAGAGCTTGATCAATTCTTAAATTGAAATGGTGTGTTTTTCTTTCTTTCTTTCTTTTTTGAATATTTTAAGAATGATTTATTGCATTTTCAAATGAAGGGAAAAACTGTTCCACTTGAAAGTTCAAATTTTGAAATGCAAAGGAAAATGATTTGCACTCATTCCTTTAGTGAAATAAATTCCCTATCCAATGGCGAAAGTTAAATATCCTCCATTTATTATATAGGAAATACATAGTCTTTCATAAAGAACATAGAAATGTTATTGGTAAATATCGAGACTTTTTAGTTGTAAAAATGCACTTGCAATCTGTTGAATTTATATGGCCAACTATTTCCAATATTTACAAATAGAAATCCAAGAACCTACATTGAGGGGGGGGGGGGGGGATGGATACAAGAAAAAAATATTATTCGTTGATCTGATCTTTTACTCCTTGATGCGTTCTTATTTACAACACACGTTAAAAAAGACATAGTAGATCAGAATCTCAATCATGACATATATTGCTACTTGCGTAATCAATGGATTATATACATCGTTTATGGCATTTTAAATGAACAGGGTCTTCAATGATTCTTTCCTCCTGTAGGTTGTAACATATACTTTCAGTTATATCATCACTCAATGTTAGAATACATATGTTTTTAGGATTTCTACCTTTGCAGAGGTTGTGTTTCCCCTTTACAAAGAATACTAGTACTAAAGGATAAATAGCACAAAAGATTCTATGCATGGATTTATATACATGTTTAATGTTTTGACTGATTTTCAATAGCAGTGACAGGAAAAAATTCCTAAGACAAAAAAGGAAAAGTACATTTCCTTAAATGTTCAAATATGCGAATTTGCGACTATTTCTATATAAATCCATATAGTAACACAACTGTGCACACATTTATGACATTACTACAAAATCTTTCAAAATATCCAAACTTACTCCTGACCGGTGAACATTTTTCAGTTTATGTATATTACTATTATTAATTCTTTCTTAATAAATTGCTGATATCTGGGGGGGGGGGGGAAGTTTCTGTTATCGATCCTCAAATAGCCAAATATGGTAAAAAGAAAAAGAGAGAGACACCGTTATAGTAGAAATTTTTATAAATCTTAAAGTTAGATACTGTTAATCATCGTTTTCTATGTAAGGTTTATCACTTTTCCTTGCTGTAGAGACTCCGTGGCAGATGCGCATAATCTACTGACATACGTGACTTCCTCTCCTTTAACAATACAGTCAATTTCTCCTGAAAATAAAAAAAAATTAGAATGTAAAAGAAAGTAATTTGTACAATGAACAAAAATAATAATTTTCGGGTATTTATTAAAAAGTCGATGCATATCATTGAAATATATTCATTTTTTTGAAATCATATTTGTAAAAAAGCACATTTAAGAAATTTAATGGTTTTCCCAAAATTAAAACAAAACGTTTTCTTATAGAGGTGTTTTCTGACCTTTGATAACCGCTGCAAAGTGCTCAATTTCTTTTCTGTAGGCATCTGTGAACCGCGTAAGAGCTTGCTGCCACATCAGATCAGAATGCATTCCTTTCTCGTCCCATAAGCACAACTGTGATTCTTTTGGATTTTCGATGACAGCACATCCCTTGGTACCTAAAACCTTATTTAATAGGAAACATTACTTAAGCTGAAACAATTAGATTTTTTTATCGCTTATATATCTCAGTTGTTTTGGTATAGATCCACCCAATTTGAGGTATTTTTACATTCATTTCTTTAATAAGGCGAACTTGGCAATAAACACATTTTATACCTCATATCTCTGATCATAACCATAGGAAACTCCTCTGAAGTTTTCGATAAATGCCAATAATCCGCTTGGAAACTTCAGTACTACGTTTACACTATCAAAATCACCACATTCTTTAATCATCGGATTGTGCGCATGACCGAAGGAAAACACTGATTGCGGTCGCTCTCCTGCCAACCACACTAAAAGATCGAACTCGTGAATTGCGCTGTCGGTTAGAAATCCACCTGTAAATAGAATTATTTTAAATATGTTAAAGTTACGTTCGATTAGACATGAATTCGTAGATATTATTTGACTACAATGCAACTCATGACTGTCTTTTGACAATACTCTTTGAGCTTAGTAATGGTGTCAGAGCAGGAAAATGGCATCACTTCAACTTCAAGATGAACATAACAATGAGCATTTTATACGAATAGGAGAAATTGGAAATTATTTGGAGCTTAATGTATATCACGATTTACGAATCAGTATTGGAGATTTAATGAAGGCACCACCTGAGGATAAAATGTATTCCTTTGTACATGTAGACGGTAGTTCTCTAGCCGACAGCTTAATCGTTCTTAGAGTGCCTAAGTCACCACAACGAATTTTTTCGTATAATTTCTGTATGCTAACATCGAACCTTCTACAATAAATATCAATGAATTATTAATTTATTTCAATTTCTTCTTATATAAGCGAAATTATTTGACTTTTGTGGAGAACTAAGTCTTTGTTATACTATGAATCTTATAAAATATGGTTCAATAATTAATTTCACGCTACTTATCAAATCCGCATTGCAAGGTCTTGTTATTTGTCTTGGCTGCTCTGTAACAATTAGCTACTTCCTCCTCCGTTAAAGCAAGAGGCTTCTCGGCAAAAACATGCTTCCCTGAAAGGACATTCAATAAAACGGCTAATTTCTGATTTTGTACTTCTTGATTGATTGGCTTTATTTCATATCTGTTGTTTTTTTTTATAATAATAAATAAACATTTGTAGAGCGCCCTATATAATAAAAATTACTCCAAGGCGCTTAACAATAAGATTATAGTAAAATAAATGTACAAGATAGTAATTAAAGCTTTAACAAGAAAATGAAAGATGCAATAAATTAAAAAGAAAAATCTTTGAGACATTTTTAAAAGATAAAAATCATAGGCGTTTAAAACTCAACCACTTATTTACTGATTTCCCTGTAAAACTTAACGAGGGTCGTTCAATTGGTAATGAAACCTAAGATGTGTAACACTGAATGTAGAAGCATTTAATTTTATCTTTTTCACGATCTATGGGTACTATTTAAGAATTCATAATCACTGGAAAATCTCATGTTTTTTCTACAGACTTCGCAAAGAAAGCTCACTTTTGAAGTAAGCATGATCTCTACGCTGAGCTGAAAACTGTTTAAAAATTGTCTCTACTAAGAAGATGTAAAAACTTTCATTACCAAAAAAAAAAAAAAAAAAAAAAAATGTTGACCAAACAGTATTAAAGACATGATTTTGTTATCTGGATTGTTTGATGTGTTCTTTTATGTCCCGTTCGAGAATTTTTCATTCATAAAGAGACGTCATCATATACTGTTAAAGGGCTTCAAATTTACACATTACTCGGCACTTAGGGCCATTGAGCAGTGAGGGCTCTTTATCGTTACATCGCCTACCGTGACACGGAGCCTAGGTTTTTTAAAGGTCCAATCCGAAAGACCCGCAGCTTTCACTCCAAAAATGCCGAGTGCTTGGTGAAGAAACATTTGCTACTTATTTTCTATCGACTTAGGTAAAGTGCGGTCTTGATTCGAACACACGACCTTCCTATCACGGAGCGAGCGCTCTACCGACTGAGCTACGTGACAGACAGAAAAGATAAACCTTTCACACTGTACAGTGTTTAGATAGATTTAAGAAATAAAAAAAGGAATGTTACAAGATCGGAGTTGGACTGGTCGATCAAAATTTGTTGGGACACTAAAGATTGTCGATGCTGTGAGCAACCTGATATTTGTAAGTGGCAGATTTATCTTGAGAGAAGTTGGTAAGACACTAGACATTTCATCATCACAGTTTGTAGAGTTCTGACAGGGGAAATATGAATATAAACTATTTTTATGTAAGATAGATGGAATATGTCCTTACAGATGCCTAAAAGAAAACCCTCTTTTTATGTGTCAATGGTCTAATAAAAACTAGACATTATTACAAAAAAGGCATTTTAAATTTGGGTGATGGTTGTTAAAACATGGGTGCACTTTTTATTGCATAAAAGGAAGAACAATGATAAAAAGTGGAATCAGAGAGAAAGCTGTCATCTTATTATTGCAAAAAGAACAGAGCTCCAAAGATGTTATATATTTTTTTAGTAAAGATGTCTGATATTTCACCATCCTCCGCCCAAAGGAACTACCATCAATGGAAGTTTTTATGTTAAAATTGAATTGAGGAAAATTCAGTAGCTTTTCTTTGAGGGAAGTTCGAATACGGGTCCCCGAGTTTATGTTTGTGTCTGACAACGCTGCTGCAAATAAGCATAGAATGTAAAGGGAAATTTGACGAAAGGAACGTTTACAGAGCTTATAGCCATCCTCTGTATTCGCTTCATCTCAGTCATTTTGAAATTTTCTTATTCCAAGAACCCAAGAAACAATCAATGGAAGAAATTACTAATTTAGATTTGTCATGGAGAATGCCATTATTCAGTGTCTTTTGAGGATACCTTGTACTTTTCTTAATTTTAGATTGCATTTTGCATTGTTTATTGAACGACCCTCGTATTACAATGTTGATGATTGAAAAATTCCGATGCTTCAAAATTTACACTTCCACATAAATGATATTCACTCTTAAAATGATTTTGAGCTTAATGAAACAAACGTTTTTTTTTCAAAAATTGCCATAATCACCTTATTTTTTTTTTTTAATCTTGTATTATTTACCAGAATTTAATGATTTGATGATAAGGCCTCCTCTTCCGTGAACAGTAGTGCATATTACAACTGCGTCCAGCCTACAATAGAATAACATTGGTTTTTATTCCTCAGTATACTTCTTTTGATATATTTGACCTTAAAAAAAACAAACCATCTTGCAAATTATTTATAATCATCTGTCATGGTCATCTTATATTTTTGATATATTTTTCCTGAATTAATCATAATAGAAACAAGACGTGTTTGTAAAACACTGATGCCCCCGTATGGCAGCTTATGGCTAAATTTCTCAAATGCAAGTCAAACTCCAGGTCAAAAGATCCAAAATGTTGATACCCAAAGAAATGTCTTGTCTCAAGGAATATACATGTGAAATATGAAAGCCCTAGCACCAACCGTTGAACAGTTATGGCGAAGATTTTTTTTTTTTTCAAAAGTAAGTAACACATCAAGGTTAAGGTCAAATGGTACCCAATGGAAGGTCTTGTCCTAAGTGATATACATGTACGTGAAATATGAAAGCCCCAGAACCAAACGTACAAATATCATGGCTAAGGTTTAAGTTTTTTTTTTAAAGTAGGCCAAACTCCAAGTTTAAGGTCAATGGGCCCAAATTGTTGGTATCCAAAGGAAGGTCTTGTCACAAGGAAAACAAATGTGGAGAATAAAAGCCCTAACAGGTGTTCAAAAGTTATGGCAAAGGTTAAAGCAGGCCTCTAAGTGGCCTCTAAAATTTAGGCGCCAGCTGGCGCCTTATCAAAAAAATTTAGTCGCCAATGCAAATTTTTCAGTCGCCAGGCAATTTCTCTAAGGCGCCAACTTTAAAAGTTAATAGAATATATAGGGTCCCTATAGGTCCCTATAGAATATAGGGACCCATGACGTGCCTAAGAAAATACGACATGGCCATTGCAAAAATATAATTTCCATTTCTTTTAAATTTCTTTTCGCTTTTTCAGAAAAATTGTTAAAAATGTGAAAATTTCCGGAATTCCATAAAATGGTCGCCAGTTTGGAGACTTATGGAAGAATTTTAGGCGCCAATCAAAAAGTTTAGGGGCCATGGCGACTAAATTAGTCGCCAATTAGAGCCCTGGGCTAAAGTTTTTCAAAAGTAGGTCAAACTCCAAGGTCAAGGGTCAAAGTTCTTGGTATCCATAAGAAGGTCTTGCCACAAGGAATATATATGTGAAGTATGAAAGCCCTAGCACCAACTGTTCAGAAGCTATAGCCAAGGTTAAAGTTCTTAAAAAGTAGGTCAAACTCCAAGGCCAAGGTCAAGGGTCAAAGTTGTTGGTATCCATAAGAAGGTCTTGTCACAAGAAATATACATGTGAAGTATGAAAATCCTAGCTCCAACTGCTCAAAAGTTACGGCTAGGGTTAAATTTTTAAAAAAAAAAAGTAGGTCATACTCCAAGGTCAAGGTCAAACGGTCAAAGTTGTTGGTATCCGAAGGAAGGTCTTTCTACGTGGAATGCACGTGTGTAGTTTGAAAGCCATAGCACCAACTCTTTAAAAGTTATGGCCAAGGTTAAAGTCTGATGAAATATAGCAAAAGTTGGTCAAACTCCGAGGTCAAAAGGTCAAATTTGATGGTACCCAAAGAAAGGTCTTGTCACAAGGAATACTCATATGAAATATAAAAGCCATAGCTCTAGCCAATCGATAGTTATGAGCAAGGTTAAAGTTTTTGCGGACAGACAGACAGACACACACACTGATAGACGGACAGTGCAAAAACGATATGACCCCGAATCCTCGATTACGGGTGCATAAAAATAATGTCGTTGAATAGGGTCACCTATAGGTGTTTTAAACACGAATTTGACAGCTATTTTATAGAATAAAAACAGAGCATAAATAGTTCCTCTTATTTTTTTTTCATAAATTATCAAGTACCTATTATTACTATTGTTTTATTAAAATGATATTTTTTTTCGAGTTTTGTCACCTTAATAAAATACTCACGTAGGTTCACTAAGAATTTCATCGGTTTCTTCAGGGGAACAGACGACGGTGTCCTTTAAACAATAGTTGTCAATCAAGGTCCGAATTTTCTCAAGCATCGATGGAATGTCAATCAAGTATGCAACTTCAAATGCAGAACTTTGCACTATATGTCGTAAATGAATATTTCCTATTCGTCCAAGACCGAAGACAGCAACTTTCGGACGAAAGTTTTTCCTTTCCGCCATGACTTATAGCAATGAATTTATTATATCCACTACTAATTCAATACGACATAGATGTTAAATAAAATCGGTATGACCTACTTTTGTGATTTAGATTGTCTTATCATCCTATGCATTTAAGGTCATATATATATATATATATATATATATATATATATATATATATATATATATATATATATATATATATAAGTACATTTTTTTTACCTAGAGTTTGGCAGGACAAATCAATATTTTTCTATTGTAAAATCAGCCCTCTTCAAATTAACTTTAACATTATATAGACATTTTAGTTTTATTTCATCATTTTTTTCTGTAATGATGAATAATTACTTCATCTTTGTTTGTTTGTAAACTTCTACATTTGGAATGATTGAAAAAGTAAAAGAAGCTCTGTAAAATATAAGGACTGACTCCTTACTCCATGACTCTAGAGCAAATGCTCTAACCACTGCGCTACGCAGGCGACTTTTGTATTTTGAATTCAGAAACATTTTGGATATTTATGCGCTCTTATTCAATTTTAATCAACAACACTAGATCAGAAATTAAAAATTGTACAATAACATTTATATTCAAAAAAAGAATTGTCCGCAGTCTTACGCATCTGCTTTATCTGAAAAATCAGTTGATTCGATACGCAAGAGCATGCTCTACGTATGTACAATTTCTAAAACTAGGTAAATTATTGACAAACAAGTTGATGAAGCAAGAATATCAGCTGTCTCGTTTAAAGTCATCATTTCGTAAGTTCTATGGTCGATACAAT